TCGAAATAAGGCTGTATAATAGCATTATATAGCATTTTGGTTGTCGACAGTGGTACAAAAGGTTTAACACGTCTCATTGCACCAACACCGGCACCAACTTTAGAACAGATTGAATCAATATGTTTATCCCAAGACAACCTTTCGTCCATAGTCACGCCAAGGCATGAATATTTATTAATCCTGGGTACTAGCTTATTATTAATTAAAATGGGATTACCAGATACTTTATTCTTAAGGTTATAGGGAGACCCAATGAACATATGTTTCGATTTACTGGGGTGGATTTGAAGTTTATTGTGTATCATCCATTTGCGTATGTTTTCGAGATCAATATTTACCTTGTCGGCAAGGTCGGCGCAGTCATTAGAAGATGCATAAATTTCCGTGTCATCAGCATAGAGTGAAGGAGTTAAGTGACTTAACGAGTCAGGCATATCATTTATGTATAATAAAAATAATAGAGGACCAAGGATGGACCCCTGTAAAACTCCGCATATTATCTTTTTTGGGCTCGATAGTTGTCCGTTTATAAGACATTGTTGAACCCTGTTATTCAGGTATGATTCGAACCATCTTAGTTGGTTTCCTGTTACTCCGAAAAAATTACGCATTTTATCAATCAGAATTTCATGATTTATGGAGTCGAAGGCTTTTCTAACATCAAGAAAGACTACACAATTTATTTGACCACTATCCATGTTTTTAAGTAAATTATCACACATTTGTATCAACGCAGACAGGGTTGAGTGTTTAGGTCTAAACCCTGATTGGAATTTAGAAAGTAATGAGTTATTGGAAAGATAGCCATAAAGCTGTCGAAAAACCTCTCTCTCGAAAACTTTACTTACAATGGGGAGTATAGAAATTGGCCTATAATTTTCACATTTCCGTCGATCTTCAGATTTGTAAATTGGAATGACTCGCGCGCGTTTCCAGTCATTCACATAAATACCAGTGTCAAGTGATAAATTAAATATATATGTTAATGACGGAGCAATAATATCTGCAGAGAGTCGGAGAACATTGGCTGGAATTTTATCAAGGCCAGTAGATTTGTTTATCTTGAGGTTCATTAATGCCAGAAAAACGTTTTCTACATCAATACGATGGAAATGGAATATCGTATCTGTTGTGGGATTGGAATTATTGTAGCTATTCGTAGTGTGTTGAGTAAGAGGCTCTTCACCAGCTTCAGGCTCTTCACTAGTTTCAGAAGCTAGGCTTGGGCCAATGTTAACAAAATATTCATTAAACTTTTCAGCGATTAATATAGAATCGGTAATGCTGTTGTCATTCACAGATATTTCTGTAATACTGGAAGATTTGTTATTCCTTCCAGTAAGGGAATTTATAAGGGACCAAATTTTTTTGAAATCATTTGAATGTGTACAGTCCCCTATCTCTTTGTGATAAAAGTCAATTTTGCTTTTACGCATTTGCTTATTTACTCTGTTCCGTAAGGATTTGTATTTATCCCAGTGAATTGATGATTTAAATCTAATGGCTTTCTTTTTATGGTAATCTCTATTCCTCATTAGTTGTTTAATAGCAGGTGTAATCCATGGGACCGAGTTAGCCTTAGTTCTTCTTTGGCGTACAGGTGCATGCTTATTTAAAATTTCGTAAAAAATTGATTTCCATACAATCCAGCATGTATTGGGATCATCGTAGCAAATTGTATCCCAGGATACCTGCAGTAAATCAGCGCGGAATTGCGATTCAGGAAAGTGTTTGAAATCGCGGACTTCTTTTATAGTTGGTCTAGATTTAGGTCATTCAAGTTTTCTTACAGCATAGACTAAGAAGCTATGATCGGATATACCAAGGTGTAAGACGCCACCAGTCGAAATATATTCAGGTTTATTTGTAATTATTAAGTCTATCAGTGTGGATGTTGATGAAACAATTCAAAGTTGGTAAATATGTCGAGCTCTGAATTAGGTGGTCGATACCAGGCAGCAATTAGAAGAGGCTTACTATGTTGCCTAGTAATCTCCACACAGACCACACATGTCATTTCTAAATTATCAGGGACTAAATCTTTTCTCTCAGTGTATGGTATATTATTTTTTATATATAGAGCCACACCACCCCCAAATCTGTTACGATCAAAACGAACAATTGTATAATTACAATATGAATCCAAATCTGCATCCAAAATTGAGGAGTCGATTTTAGTCTCATTAATGGCCAAAATGTCAAAAGGGTTATCAGAGAGAAAGATACGAATCTCATCGATATGTTTTAAAAGACTATTAATGTTTAAATTTGCAATCTTCAGGCCCTTTAAATTCGATATGTTAAAATCAGGCAGAAATAAAGTTGAATTTGTTGAAACTGACTCGCTATCGAAACTTATCGTATTATTATTATTACTACTTAAATTTGAGTTACTATTCATTGTTGAGTGACTTGAGTCGATCGACTTCGTGTCGTTAGATATTTCAGAGTTTTCTCTATTTGGTGAAGTGTCTCTTCTAAGTGAAAATTTTTAGAATAGTTGTGATGTTGTTGTGGTGGAGAAAACTGCCGTCCACGTAGGAACTTAATAAATCCTACTGCAAGTAAAGCGGTTTCCTTTGCGTTTAGATGCAGCTTACTATTGTTCAGGTATGTCTCATGTTATTATGAAGTATAATATTATAGCCGTTACGAGAACACATGTCTTTGATCTTGTTATTGACCTCTTCAATTTTATTTGCTAATTGAAGGTCTTTTCTACATGTGATAGTTGACACTCCGATTTGTGCATTGGGAAATTTGCCTTGCACTCTCCAGCACAGATCTTCAAGTTTTTGATGCAAGCATTTGGGTCGTCTGTTGGAAGATTGTTTGTTCCACAGTGTAATATAACATGAGAAGGCGCTAGGTTTTGATCTATAGTGCGTATTTCGAACTCTATTTCGTCCGCTGATTTACCTGGGTATGTAAATTTATGCACTCTTTTCTGCGACAGCTTCTGTGGAATGATGTTTTTAATGATAGAATCGCCGATTAAGACAACACACGGTCTTGCACTTTGGTCTCCAGAGCGATTGGGATTTTGATAAACATTACCAGTGGGATGGTTCGTGTGCTCAGGTGGGCATTGTGATGATTGTTCCGGCTGAACAGTTTCATCAGTTTCACCCTCAACAATAGGCAATTCCAGCTTTTAGTTTATGCCTGCAGGGGATGATGGGAAGTAAGGTATCATATTGCTGATTATGCTGAAAAATTTCAATAAAAACTACTGAAGCAACCGAAATATTTCAATATTTGCAAGTATAAGCTATCACTCCGTGTTTACACGGCCACCATTTTTATTTTTTCAGCATAATCAGCAATGTGATACCTTACTTCCCATCGTCCCCTGCACGCATAAACTAAAAGCTGGAATTGCCAATTAGACATTCATTACCAGTAGGATAGCTTGTGTGCTCCGGTGGGCATTGTGCCGATTGTTCCGGCTGAACAACTTCAGCAATTTCGTCCTCATCAATTAGACATTCATATCTACTATACGTTATTTGTGGTTGACTTACACTGTTAGTTTTATGAAAGTTTTTATTACTATTAGGAATTTTTTGCCATGGTACGGAGTTGCTTTTGCGGCACTGGCAACCGACACTATTACCCCTATGTTGACAAAGTTTGTCTTGTGCAATACGCCTTGTCGCGAGCTGTAGAGAGTCTCTTTCTTCCTCGACTTTAATTAGCTTTTGTTCAAGAGAATTTATGTATCTTGTTTTCTCATTTATTTCAACTGAATATTTTTCGTTTAAATCCGCCGCTCTGTTATATAAAGATAATATCGTGTCATGATCTTTGAGTACATTTTCAAAAGACAAAACTGACGACTGAAGGGTAGACATCTTAGATTTTAGACTCTCAATATCGGTAGTAACTTGATCCAATGTACATGAATGATTAAGGCCCCAGCGTTCGTTCGCTGTCTGATTATTTGTCGGACATGAACTATCAGTCATAACAAACTTGTTATTCTCAATATTCTCAAGCATGCATGCCATCCCCCAAGTTGGTTTCGTCAGCTATAGTATTGCCACTTTTATTAAAAGAGTTCTCCAACGACTCTTAGTCATTGCATATATATAAACCAGTTGTATTCAGCCTTTTACCTGAGGTGGCATCCATGCTTGTTTCGGTGTTGTCGTCATTATTGAAGTGGTCTTGACATCTCTCTGTATTGCTGCCTTGATTTTCGACTGAACTTTCACATATAGATGTCAGAATCTTAGACAATTCGTCTGTCTCAGTCGAATTTCCAGCCAATGTGATAGTTTTAATGGTTTTTCCGTGCCATTTCAAGCTCACAGTATCAGTTTTAACTCCTTTGAGACAAATTCCTTCAATTTAACTAATGTACTATCCCAGTAGAACCTTTCTCCACTGGCCTCTAAGTTAGATCCGAACACGACCTCAAGGAATAATGAGTTCGCTCAAACACCTGAGATGGCACTAGCTCTTTTAAATAATTTGGAGTTAAATTATTAACAATTTTAAAATAGAATATCAACTTGTGAATAGAACGTCTAGTTTTCATATCTTCCCAACCGATTTCGTGCATCAGAGAACGCCTACTAGTTCCCTTGATAGCACCCGTTACAATTTTTGCTGCTTCGTATTGCACAAACTCGAGGAGATCGCCCTCGCCTTCCGTACAGCCATCCCACAAGACAGATAATCTCCATACTCCATTAATGGACGAATAAGAGATTTGTATAATCTGTTCAAAGTCCCCCTATTTAAAATAAATTTCAATCCTTTAAGTAAATTTAATCTTCTACAAGCTTTTTCATATACTTTTAAAATATGAGCCTTCCAAGAAAGATTACTTGATAATGTCAACCCGAGATGACTATATGTTGTGTAACGTCCACAATTTTTTTGTTATCAAAAAACAAATCAGGATGATAGACCTGATACTTTTTAACTGAAAAAATCATAGATTTAGTCTTATCAGGATTTATTGTGACTAACCATTGGTGAGCCCACTCATTAATTTTATAAGATCATTATTTAATTTAACCGAGGATACCGCTGGTGTTTCAACAATATCATGAAGAGAGGTATCATCGGCGTAAAGAAAACAGTCCGTTTCAAGATTTTCAGTAATATCATTGATATAAATCAAGAAAAGCAACGGACCAAGAACAGAGCCCTGAGGAACACCGGCTTTTATGTTTTTCCATTCAGAAAATTGACCATCAGTAACGACTCGCTGCTTACGATTAGTTAAACAGCTTTTGAACCAACTTAGCAAGGGGTCTCTAACACCAATTTTTTCAAGTTTATATAACAGTCCCTTATGCCACACTTTGTCAAATGCCTTGCTTATATCAAGAAATACCATCCGAACTTCTCTGCCCCGTTCCAGAGCATCATAGATCTTATGAACAAGACATGTTAATTGATTAACAGTAGAATCGCCTGGTCGAAAACCTGACTGCAATGGATTTAAAAATTTTATTTCCAAAAGAAAATTATACAGTCGGATATATACTATTTTTTCAGCTATTTTAGATAACGAGTCTAATAAAGAAACAGGTCTATAATTCAGCTTCGATTGACGATCATCTTTCTTAAATATCGGAATAACATTTGCAAGCTTCCATTGGTCTGGAAAACTCCCAGACAATAACGACAAATTAACAATGCTTGTAAACGATGTGGTAATCCCATTAGCACATAATTTCAATATCTTATTACCGATACCATCGCAACCACAAGCCTTACTAGTATCCACGCTTTTCAGTAGGTCGTTAATTTCACGCTCAGATGCATAAATATTTGACAACGTAATAGTAGTTTGGAAATGCAAAATATTTGATGGAAGGATAGCACAACTGTCATCAATAAGGCGTTGAGCATAGAAATAATCATTAAAAATAATCATCAAATTTCTTTGCTGCCTGTATCTGTCCCAAGAAGTCACAGTTCTCTTTTTAACATGAATCTTAAGTAACCTGTTTCTTTTTCTTATGGCTCGCCTAATACTATTGTTCATCCAGGGTTTGTCTCGAGGATGTATTGTGACAAATTTGTCACAGATATGGGACTCAATAACATTATAAAAACAGGTAAACCATTTTTCATAAATTAAAATTATGTCATTATAATGTGATGCGAGAACATCCAAATTGGCTGTCACTAAAGCATTACACAATTCCGATTCATTAACATTGTTAAAATCCCAAACAAAACGTTTATAGCATTTTTGTTTTGTGAAAGTTATACTCATTTTTGCAAAAATCAAAGAATGATCGGCTGGATGGCGGGCTGAGAGTACCAGTATGAAAAAAATATCCTGGACAGTTGGTGATAATAAGATCTAAAATAGTTGCTCCGTGCTGTGTAATTCTAGTTGGCTCAGTGATTACTTGAAATAAGTTGTTACATTCCATCCAACGATACAAAAGGCAACCGAAATCAGTACTTTCAGATTTATTTGTCGAGTCATAATGAGCGCTAAAATCACCGATAATAGTAATAAGACTATTAGGCTGAATATTGATTTTATCTATAAACATCGTTGCAAATTATCTAGAAACCTAGCATTAGAAATTAAATCACCTCCAGGCGGTCTATAGCAAATTCCGCAAATAAGATTGTTAGGACCTACTTTCAATTCTACCCACAGCAATTCGAAGCCGCATGCATGTCTCTAAATCGTTTCTACGTTTGACAGCAATTGAAGTTGTAACATAAACAGCTACACCTCCTGAGCGCCTACCGTCTGATCTATCAAGACGAATCAGTGGACAATAGCCAGGAATACTAAACAGATCATTAGAAATAGAATCATTCAACCATGTCTCTGATAATGCAAAAAGTCAAATTTATGATTTAAGATGGCAGAAGCGATCTCCCCAAATTTGTTAGGTGCATTCAAACTGCGGATGTTTAAGTGTGCAATTTTCAAATTAACATTTGGGTAAGGGCCAGCTGGGGTTTAACTCCACGTCTAAGCATATCATAAAGAAAAGTGCAATTACTATCAAAAGTTGCAGGCAACCCACCATAATATTCAAAAAAACAAATGAAAAGTTTACCGTTGAAACTGAAATGTGGCAATTAAATAGTCCGATAGCTGCTCTATAACATTCCAAACTAACCCCCATCAATATGGAGGCTTAAATAATAATTAAAGCTACTCACCTGCTGCTGCTCCGAAATATAATTTGATGAAAAAAAAATAGACTAGTAATAATATACATAAACTGACACACAAAATGCTAATTAAAGAAAACAACAAAACAATGCCATGATTATTAACCATGGCAAACAAGTTATCATGCAAATCTCAGGAATTCAAAGATATATGGCTAAGGGCCCATAATACTGATACCATGCAGTTAACAAAAATCATAGGGTTCAAAATCCTCCATGTTCCTAATCCGATAGATTTTATCGTCTAACTCACCACGAACAAAAAGTTTACCATCAGAAAACCAAGTCGACTTAATATTGCTCGCATATTTGCGAGCATGACTGAACAGTTTCATATTAATGTAAGTTAGGTCTTCATTAATATCAAAATCGGAATCCTTTAAAAGTTTTTTCTGAATACAAACCATCAATTTAGAATTATAATTCATGAATTTCACTAATATGGCTCTGGTTTTCCCTTCAGATTTTTTTCCAACTCGGTGTGCACGGTCAATAGTGTTAGCAGGCACGACGATCCCCAATTTCTCCTTGCAGAATGCAACGATTAACTCAGTGCAATTTTCATCTTTCTTCTCTTCAATGCCGATAAATCTCAAATTATATTTTCTAGAGTATTGTTCGTTATCATTAGCTTTATTTATAGCAAGTTTAGCTTCCTCTTGCGCTGCCGACAGACAAGATTCAAGGTCGTTAATCTTCTTTTCTAAATCGGTTACTCGTGGCGCGTATTGTTCAAATTCAGCTAGCTTCTTGTTAAAAGGCTCAACGGCGCTCGCCACTGCTGCATCTACACTTTTTTTGAAAGCAAGTTGAAAAGATTCTTCCGCAACTATATTCGAAACCACTCTCCTCATAATATCCATAAAGGATTCCGATTCAAAATAGCCACGAAGCTCATCGTTAATAGAACCGCTTGACTGATTCGACCTTGTGACACGTTGCATTTCGAGATGTTTTAGACAGATTTTAGATAAATGAGTAAATGTAAAAGCTTCAGGAACAACAAACTAAAGAGCTATCAAGCATTAGTATTAATATACTGTAGAGGACTTGAAATTACCGAAAGCGAAAATATCTTATGAAGATTCGACGAGCTCAAATGCACACGTCCATACTGCTTGAGTGCTGCTTAAATGCTATTTCAGAGACTCAAATTTTAAAATTTCCTGAGACCCCCTAGCTAATTCAGTAACTCAACTTCAACTTCAACTTCGAGGCAGGGAAAGTAGGTAGTATTTTAAATATAAGATATAAAGTAGCTACAACAGTTATACAGATATATTAGAGTAATATATAATATAAAATAATAAAGAACAAACTGAGCTTTGGTCAGGTTTGTAACAACTGTTTAGAATTAATATTATTATTTTTATATTGTACAATATTTAGTGCGCGTTACTGAAAGTAAGAATAACGTAAATTCCCCATACAACAGTAGAAAATGTGGAGTAGAGTAAATTAGCCTAGTCAAATTCTTAATATCTATACTTTTTAATTTTTTCAATCATGGGAATTTGAATGTAGTCATCTTCTTTTTCCAATATTTTAAATAGAAGTTGTTGAATGGTCCTCTTAAATAAATTCTTAGATAACTCACTTACATGGCATGGTATCTGATTCCATGATTTTAATCCAAGCCGTGAAAAAGAATACTGTTGTGTGTTTAGTTTAGAACATTTTAAATAATTAAAAAACTTTTCTGAAGTATATGATCGTGTACTGTGTAAGTGAATAGTGGATGATCTCTCGAATAAGTTTAATATATTTTGAGGTGCTTTTCCATTAATTATATCGTGCATTAAACTGGAGATATAAAATCATAATAAAGAAAGGTCACCGGTAAAATACGAGCATCAAGAAATAGGGGGACTGCGTGATCACAGTCAAAAAATCATACGAATTACCCTTTTCTGCAGAATTAAAATTTTATGGAGATGGGTTTTACATGCTTGACCAATATGCAGCAATACCACATGCAGCAATACCATAAGTTAAATTAAGTATGGATATTTTAGAGACTGATAAATATTAATTAATATTGATCTGGGTAAAAAATGGGGCAGTTTTGCGATGAGTCCAACACTTTTACTAATTTTCGTCGCAATAACATCAATATGGTGTTTCCATCAGAGATTCTTATCGATCAGGATACCTAGATGTTTAACGTAATCTTTACACTCAAGATTCATATATTTATTTCGTTCATTATCAAATATACGTATTTTAGGTTGGTAGGCAAGTCTCTTTTGATAAGCATGAAAAATAACAAAATTAGATTTTTTGATGTTAAGAGTTAATTTACTAGCTGTTAGCCAGTCATAAAGATTTCATAATTGAATATTACTTTCAAGGGCTTTCACGTTTTTGTCAGCATAAAGAATATTCGTATCATCAGCGAAAAGATAAAAATTAAGTTTATCTGAACGTTTATGATTAACTTATAGCAAATAAAGCAAAGGTACAATAACTGACCCCTGAGAAACACCACAACTGACCTCAACTTTATTTGATGTATATATGTTGACCAACCTGTGTTGTTTGTGTGCGATTTTTTAAATACGAAGAGAACCAATTATTAACTATTCCACGGAAGCCGTAGTGATTAACTTTATTAAGTAAAATATTGTGATCAACTGTATCGAATGCTTTTTTTAGATCTATGAAGATTCCAGAAGAGAATAACTTCTTATTCAAATTAGTTTGAATGTCATTTAATAATTCCAATATTGCATGTTGAGTAGAGTGTCCCTCACGAAAGCCATATTGAGAAGAATACAACAAGTTTTTTTTTTCAATATAGGTCACCATTCTTTTGTATACAATCTTCCCAAAGATTCTATTAAAGTTTGATAACAAAGAAATAGGTCTGTAGTTACTTTCATCAGTTTCGTCCTTACCTTTATAAACTGGAATGATTTTTGCAACTTTGAGTTTAGTAGGGTAAATACATGATTTAATAGATGTGTTAAGTATCTCTGAGAGTATAGGAGATATGCTTTTGAGCATTTGAGTAAATTAGTGGGTGAGGAATATAAGCCACATGATTTGTTATTTGGTATAGATAATATTTCTAAATTGATATCCTCAGGTAAGACAGGTTGATGATAAAAGGATGAAGCTGGAGATTTGCATTTGCTAACATAGTCAAGATAATGATGGCGTGAAGATGGCAATTTACTAGCAAGTTTACTACCTACTGTAGTAAAATGCTGGTTTATAATGTGAGGAATTTGTGAAGCTTTTTTAATGTCTTTACGATTATTATTTAGATCCTTAAGAGAACTTATGGTATTAAAAACGTTCCTCCGACGATAAAGTATTTCATTAATTCCTTCCCAAGTTTTTTTCATATTTGTTATGTTATGTGTGGAATACTGCTGATAATATGTCTTTTTACTTAACCTTATCAAGCTGCAAATTTTATTTCTATAATTTCTATATCTTTCATTATCACCCATAGCGTACAATTTATTTTTAATTAAAATCGACGCTCTAATTCCTTTGGTGATCCAAGGCTTAGATAATAGGCAATTCCAGCTTTTAGTTTATGCGTGCAGGGGACGATGGGAAGTAAGGTATCACATAGCTTATTATGCTGAAAAAATAAAAATGGTGGCCGTCTAAACACGGAGTGATAGCTTATACTGTACATGTAAATATTGAAATATTTGGGTTGTTTCGGTAGTTTTTATTGAAATTTTTCAGCATAATCAGCAATATGATACCTTACTTCCCATCATCTGCTGCAGGCATAAACTAAAAGCTGGAATTGCCTATTGTTTTTCTCGAACCTGCGGTACTCGGCTCACACCTTCTACAGAAATTGTAGATATATATAATCATTAAAGTAATTATAATCACATGCTAATAAAATATGATCGAGTATGTACTGTTGCGTCTTAGCCACAGTGTTGGAATTATCATTGTAAGAAAATTCTGAAAGCAGCGAACGTCTCTTGCTCAATACACAAGTTACACTTGAAACTAAATCATAAAAAGAGATATTACATACTTATCAACGTTATAATGATGTTAGATTAACCCAGTTAGTCCAATAACTCCAAGATTTCGGTATCAAATATATAGACAAATTCCCGAACACTGGTTAAATTCACAAAAGATAATAATTAAATTTATGCAAAAATTTAACAATTATTTCTCTAAACAATTGCTAACAGCGTTTAGCATGCACATATTGGCTGCGTAAACACAAAAGTGGTTTCCTTTTGAAAATATAGTTATAGGTAATATAACCGATTTCATGAATATAAAATTATCTAAGAGGTCTCTTTATAAGAGAGTTTAGAAGTATCTAATTTGATCAATTAGCATCAAGATCTAAAATTTAAAGTTTCCTACAATCCGAACAAATTAGGGGCGGACCATTATGTTTTTGAAGGGGGGTGAAAAGAATGGCTGTAAGAAGGAAATTTGTTTTTTCAGCCAAGCAGCGCAAGTATTTTTTCAAGTGAAATAGCTGTAGAGGAAACTCTACTTGGCCCGACTGAGATTCGAACTCAAAACTATGATTCAGTTTCAAAATATCAAAAAACCTTGAAGTACCATCTCAGCGACATGCTTCCAACTTGGCCTGCAGCTCAGTTAGTAGAGCATATATTGGATTAGTAAACCGAAGGACGTGGGTTCGAATTTTCTGTATCTGTATGGTTCGTCACTCGGAGTCGTAGCTCCTATTCTTTAATCTTTAATCTTTAATCTTTCTAGAATTTTACATTAAATAGTAAATACTAAATACTAATTTACAATGTGAATTACATTTGATTTAACAACTTTAATTTGGCACATAAAAAACTGAATATTTACATAACTTAAACGGACAATTACATTGTACAAGAAGACGAAGAAAGTGCCAAAAGTGGCGAAACACAAACGAGACTATGTCCCATGCAAGGTGCTCACCACTAGACAACAAACAAAGACAAGAAACAAAGACAAGGAGGATTAAATGAAAAGACTAAGAGAATGAAAAAGCAGAAAGAATGAGAAGACAAAGAGAGAAATGTTAGATATTTTTTATTGAGTCGTGATAAGTGAGTGTGAACTAGGTAAGTCAGAAGTGTAGGAAGTACTAGTGAGGTGAATGTAAGTATTGTGCAAGTATGACTTAAAAGAGGAGACAGTGACATAACAATACGAAGGAGCAGACGTACAAACATAGTTCCACAGTTTAACAATTGTAACACAATACGAACTTTGAAATGTACTTGTTTTGCATGCTTGTGTTCTCAGAAGATCAGAAGTGGCCGCGCGTGTCCTTCCCGTTGTAACTTCAACATACTGCGATATGTCAAAATCTGTGAGACCGTACATGCATTTATAGAAAAATATCAAGTCCTTCTGTTCTCTGTCGTATACAAGCGGGATTAAATTAAGTTGCATTAAGGGCTGTGTTGCTCTTCTTTGAATTCCTTCGTTTTTCTTTGATAAGTGGCTGTTGTTAGGAGGGCACCATACCTCGCTTCCATAAACAAGTTGAGATTTAACTAGCGTTAGATATAAGGTCTGTCTGACCTGGGCGTGGTTAATGTCAAAGCATGAGCATTTGAGGATACCAAGCATTTTATTTGCCTTCGACACCATCTTCAGTATGTGTGGGCCCCATTTCAAATTGCTGGTCACGAGCATACCAAGATCTTTCTCGGCTCGACAAGGAGATAATTCATTACCATATATGCGATATGGAAATCGCGTTGTGTGTTGCTTTCTTGATAGTGTCAGCACGTTGAACTTTTCAGTGTTAAATCGCATTTTTGAATCAGTGCTCCACTTTTCCAGTTTGGCAAGGTCGTCTTGCAGGAACTAGCAATCTTCTACCGATTTTATTTCTCTGTATAACTTTGAATCATCTGCATACAGTGCTGAGTTCGTACTGGGTGAAACGTTATATTTAAACTGTATAAAAAAATTAACTAATACTAATGTT